TTTTTCCCCTCATCCCGAGGCCAAAGAACCAAACTCAATTATAAACTCAGAACATCTCCCTGAAATCTGACCCTGGCACTGCTTCAGCTGTCACTTATGTGACATGAAGGCAGAGAAAGTCTTAGAACAGGACTGCTGATTAACAGCCAGCCTGTCGAGTGGTCTGCCTGGTCAGATGGCCTGACCAGCGACTCTGTAAGGACACAGCAAGTTGAGGTGTTATTGCCGTAAATGCCCAGAAAGAAGCAAATTCAATAGCAGAATATTTTAAATTCAGATTTTATCCCTAGATCTTGTGCTGGGAGATGTGTTGTTGGTGATAATTTGTCATTCAGTTACATAACTGTTTAAACTGTGCATGGAGAAGTAACAGTGGTGAAAAGTTAAAGATTTCATTGTAATCACTGAACAAAGTCGTTTTAAAGTTTGTCCTTTTTGTTGTGCATAAAGCAATTTTAGACAAATGTGTAAATGTAGCCTAGTGTGAGCAAGATGATGTGTTTTCTCCTCAAGTACCCAGGACAGTGTAGCATAATAGTTGTTAGAAATGTAGAGATGACCCTTCTGTCTCGGGTCAAGTCTTGTTACCAGGTGGACCTGCGAAAACGTCTATCCATGGATCCCGTGTTCAGAACCACTGGCTTTACAGGGAGGGAGGGAGAGATTTGACTGTTGCCTGTAATATTTCATCGATCTTTCAGCCCTGATATGTGGTGAGCAGCGCCGAGCAAATCAATAACACGAGACAGCGAGACAGAAAAACACATGCAAAAAGCACCTGCGATTCGTGACAGGCCACGTCTCAGAAGCAGCAAGACACTCGAGCGTTCTCATTTTTAATCCTATTTCTTGTGTTCTTGTTTGACCCGGGCTGAATCACAGCCTCAAATAGACTGACTCGATCTGTGTGTGCTGTATGTGTTGTGTGAGTGTGTGCTTACAGCCTCTGGTCTGCTCTGAGTGTATTGTCAGTACATGCGCTGCTAACCAAATCGCTTAGAGATTTGGTTCATTATTGTTTGGGGAAATTTGGTACATGCACAGTATGTGTGTGTGGATGCCTGTGTGCAGTGTATATCAGCAGACTAAGCAGTGGATGTATCCCCCAAAGTGCAGTAGATGCCCCAGATAGAACAATCAAGCAGCATGATTATAATGTATTACTGTAATATTAGCACATAGTGTGAGATATTATGTTTCTGTGTGTGTAATAGAGTAGCTACACTGCTATCAACCACTCATTACAACTCATATGTCATTGCTTTCTCAGCCAACATTAGCTCAAACCTACAATACATTTTCCTTTTTTTCTTACATGCACACATAGCACTCGGGGTCTTTTGTACAGCGTGCGCACACACGTGTTTTGTATTATTCATGTCTTCAGTGCTACAGTAGAGCAAATGAGGATGATGTCAGTGTTCGTTTGCTCCTTTACTCATGTTGCCGGACTAATTGGAATGTTTACTGACCTCCACCTGCCCCCAACGTTTCTGATCAAAACAGCAACATGCGTGTGTCATGCTCCACCGATAAACCAGTATCAATGAAGTGCAGCTGATGAGCTTTTGTCAGTTGTTACCAACCAAATCTAGATCCTAGTTTCTTTACCTCAAGACACACTTAAGAGATGACTGTCAAACAGAACTGTACTGATGAGGTGCGCTGGTAAGAAATCAAGTGCAGAAGACAAACATTAAGTAAACATGGGCATCATTTTAGATTTCTGGATGAACAATAGTTTAAATCTGACAAAAATTACTGTCAGTTGTGCAAAATATTGCGGCACAGCAATTTTTCAATTTAACAGTAATTTTTACCAACACTGATTATATAAATGAGCACAGCTGCAGCAGTGTTAATTAGAATACAGAGCTGCTTAGAAGAACCTGGTGCCTGTATAATGCACGCATGGACCGAGAGGACATGTAGAAGAAAGTCTAAATTTATGGTTGAAGAAGTTAACAAACATATTTCAGAACTGCTGTCGTGTAGTCTTCTGCCAGTCAGCTAATCTTTTATTGGGTTCAGTACCTGAAGCTTGGTTTGACCTAAAAGCCTGTAAAAGTCCATCATATTTTCCTCTGACGAGTGATGAGGTTTACAAACCACAAAGCCACAGCACCTTAGTAAGTAAAGTATCGCCCTAAGTGAGCAGTTGGTTCTCAAAGTCAAAGTGTTGGATGTAGGAGAAATGGGGAGGCACAGAGACCTGAGCGACTTTGTCAAAGGTCAAATCATTATGGCCAGACAACTGGGTCGGAGCATCTCTGAAGGGCGAGGCTCATGCTCCCAGTTAGCAGTGGTGACAGTGGTCAGAGGAGGGACAAACCACAACCCAGTGCATCATACATGTGTGAGCACAGTGAAGGCTATCCCATCTGGGCCAAACTAGCAGAAGGGCTGCTGTGACACAATGCACAGGCACTTTTAATGATGGTTATGGGAGGGATGTGTCACAACACATGCGGTATGCCCAGCTGGTCATAATGTTTTTGTCTCAGGGTATTAACTATTCATTTAAATTCATTGATGTTTGGCAGCCAGCTCTAAAATGGATGTGAGAGGTTCTCAATAGTGTACAAATACTCAAGCTAATGCAAAACCACTGGTTCCCTGCAAGCAGTTTATCCTCGAGAGAAGTATTAGAACCTGAATATAGGTTACAGAAAATCTGAATTATACTATACTGCTACAGTACCAAGAGAACACACACTAATATTGTAGTCAGGGGATCTGTTGCAGACACACTGCACCAAAAACATGATGCTCTCATTGTCTTATACTAGATATTTGCCCTAAATAAAGCTGGAAATGGGTGTTTAAATTTAAAAGACTAAATTAATTAAAAGCAAATAAATTATAAAAGTTTTGTGTCAAAAACATTTGATCTTTTCTGTTACTGTGACTTTTAATAAAATTTTATTTGTTTATTTATTTATTTTTGGGTGTCAAAGAGCTCGGATGAAACACCGCGTTCCATTCAGTGTTTCATTAGTGCAAAAGAGGAAGAGGAAAAGAGAAAGACATGAGTATGGATGAGAGTCAGGGGACAGGACTGCTGGTACTATCTGCATTCAGCTCCTGTGGTTATGAACATGTAATCTTGTTGGCATTGATCACGCCCCTCTCCTGCGAAGCGTTGATTGGAGGAGACCTCTCAACATAAAGCTCATACGTCAATATTAAGTGGATTATTAGCTTATAGGACTGTATGGGCCTCTTCTCTCTCTTTTCATCCCTTCTGCTCTGCAGCACAGTTAATACTGTGTAGTCACAAATGATTATTTCTCTGTTGACTAATCTACCAACTATTTTACCGACTAGTCGATTAATCAAGATGATTAATTCTCCTCTAAAGAGTACGTCCCAACAAGCACCACAGACTTTATCAAAACAAGGCACGAACAGCACACGCACACACACATTAGCACTGTCATTCAATGTAGAATAAGGCCAGCTGAAACATTTTCTCTGACATTATTCAGTGGAAAATCTAAGGCAGACAGAGGCAGACAGCTTTATGATTTTAATAATGGGTTTAGCAGCTACAAGGACAAGAGACATGAAAAAGCTCTCCCCTAATCAGAATTTATTAAACATGAATACGCAACACAGTTGCTTTTCTCTTTGTTGCAGTTCATTGTCCTCTGGTGCTTGTGCATAGTGCTGGTGCTCTTGTGGTTTGCCAACCAAACTCTGCACAGTTGTTTTCTGATAATATGAAGTACTCCGGTAACACTTTATAATAACTACACCTTATTCATCCTTAGTTAACCATGAATAAGTACTTAATTAA